TGCCACGGCCATACAGTTTATAAGTGATATAAGCGTCTGAGTGATTATTTTATACGTGGATTGTGAGACTGCGGGGCTTGGGGGACCTGGAGAGAAGCCCTCCAGCTACAAGTGTGGTCATTGTCTTATGGCAAAATTGAGTGACAGTCTCATATAACTGCTATGAAAAGTAAACACATGAATGTGCAAATCTGGCATTGGTTAAGCACTCACAAAAATGTTGGCTCCCTTAGCATCTTCAGTTTGCCAGACTGAGAGATGTCTTAAGGCACATGACCCTGGGAACTGCCCATAGAACATTCAAGGCCCACCCACCAATAGGTAGTTAGAAGGCACAGTGAAGGAAAAAGCATGGAAGAGAGATAGCTCTGAATATCCAATAGAAGCTTGATGGAAAATGCCTATGTTGGGGCTCAGAGGAGAGGAACATGGTTCCTGGGGGGGATTAGCTAATATGAGGCATGTGGTTATGTTGAAGCATGGGGTGGGGCATGAAAGAAACCCAGCTGGGCTGATCTCCTACACCTGAGAAGCCAACATTTGGAACTCAGACCTTGGCCACTACAGGTTCTTAAGAGAGAGCAAAATGACAGACTAGGTTTTAGGGCCATCACTGTGTGTAAAGATGTGCCTGGTAAGGTGAGCAGAGCAAAATCAAAGCTGGGAATACTGTTGCGATTTCCAGATGTGAACTAAGGCACTGGGCATATATTTTCTGACTTGCTTGAAAAGAAAAAATAAAAAAAGGGAAAATTGAGAAAAGTAAGTGAATATTTAGAGTATAATAAGCACTAAAATTTATTCTAAGTACTTGATTGTTAATATTTATTTGTACTTATTTGTTTTTATAAGTAGTTCTTACTACTTATAAGTTATGTTGTGACTACTAGCAATGAATAATTTGAAATTTTTTTTAAATAAAAAAAAGTCCATGGGGCATCACTGTGATAGGTACCCCTGTCCAGGAAGGGAAGGCAGGCTCCAGAAGATTGTTTTTTCATGGTTTCACAAAATTGTACATGGCACCTTGTGACTCACCTCAGAGGCTTGACTAACCACTATGTTTTGCTGTCTCAGAGCTGGATATGGAGCCCAGCAAAGGAAGCAAGGTCTGCAGAGGTCCTGTAAGGATGAAATTACTGATGGGTGAAGGTGTTGGCAGATGTCAACAGGAGGGCTAAAGGAGATAGAGAGGATAGGCTCAGGAGAAGTTAATATGCTAAAGGACAGCAGAATTAGGGAAGGCCTGGCTCCAAAGGGGCTGCTTCACTGGTGATAGCCACCATCACTGGTCACATTCCTAGTGTTTACAGAAGATGCCAAGCAAGACCAATCCTCAGCTTGGAGTAAGAATAAGAACTAGACCCACAGAAGCCTCAGAGGGACACCTGTAAGGGGAAGAGGGAGTCTGTGCTGAGTGCTATAATGTGTCTGTGGAATGGAGCTGTCTCTTGAGGGCTCATTAATAGGTTTGCATTTGCTGGTGCTGTATTTTAAAAGCATTCCCCAAAGTTCATCTGTTAACAGCTTAAGACACAGGCTCTTTAAGAGGGAATTAAAGTAGGAGGGCAAATGCCTTTATGGAGGGGTGGGCATCTGATAAAAGGAGTCTGCCTCCTTCTTCCCTTTTTCTGTCTACTACATTTCTGCCTCTTCCCTAGATTGATGCAGCATGATGGCCTTGGCACGAGGCAGGTACCTCAACCTTGGGCTACCAAGGGTTTTGAATAGTAGAAAAGGGATCTCCAATAAAGCCCCTAGTCTTAGGTACATTGTTATATAAGCATTAAACAGATGGGACAATTGACTCTCTAGACTCACACAATCACTCTAACAAGAGACAGAGAGGGTTAACCAGTTGAAGGCACCTACCCAAGCCACCTGGTTAGTGAAGGTAGGATGCCAAGCCTTCCTTCTGTACTCCAGAGAACAGGAGAAGCTAGGTTGTTACAACTTCCTTTTCCTTGCTTTGATGGCAGAAGAAAAAAGATAGCTCCAACTTTCTCTTCTGCAGTCCCCAGTACCCTCACTCTTGGGGTGTAAGAGTATTATCATTAGATAATGGGGCCGATATGCTCCTATTCATCCAGAATCATGTTAAAATTCACCTAATCTCCAAAATAATGGCATTAGGATAAAGGGCCTTGGAGGTACTTAGGTTATGGAAGGCAGCAGGGTCTTTATCTAAGAGACCCAAGGGCAGCCTCAACTCTACCATATGCAGACACATCCAGAAAGTACTATCTATGAACCAGGAAGTGGGCCCTTACCAGACGATGGATCTCCCCCATCTTAGACCTTGGAAGTCTCCAGAACAAAGACAAATAAATGTTGCTTGATTGTAAACTGCCCAATGATTTTGAGCACAGCAAGGCACTGCAGCTCAGCTACTTCCTGGTTTCCTCTGTAGGCTGAGGTCTGACCATAGAAAGTCTGCATCAGGGTCCAGAGCTTGTTCTTTGGACACAGGCCAAGATAGCCTGGCTCCTTCTGTCCTCTCCTTTGAGGGTGTTTATTGGTGACTTCCTTTGACTCTGGCTGTATACTACTTAACAAAGTGTTTCTCCGCCTAGTTCATGCCATTGTTGGATCATAGGAAGTGTGTATGATTTAAGCTGCATTTCCTGAGTTCTACCCATAACTGGAAATAGTACAGCCACAAGTACTGTGGCCCTAAGCTCGGCTGTAGTCTGTTTTTGACTGCAATAGCTATTACCATCAACTCCATTCCCTTCCAGAAACCTGTTTCCTTAAGTGCGGGATGAGGACCAGTGAGCCTGATAAAGAAGTTCACAGGGTTGACCCAATGCCTTTCACAGACAGTGAATCTGAGGTTGAGACCAGCCCAAGATCGCCAAGCTAATCAGTGGTTAGAAAACAAAACAAGTGTGCTTTGATCAGGTGTTTTGCTCTAACGTATTTTCTTAGGACTACGCCATTCATTCATTCAACATATATCAAAATCAGCTATGATTCTGTGCCAAGCACTGGTTGAGGGGCTGTGAATGAAAAGCTGTATATATAATTTTATACATCTGTCTAGAAGTTAGAATTCAGAGAAAGAGATGGACATCGAAATATCATCCATTCTAACTTACAAGCATGACATGTGACTTCAAAGAGAGTTTTAATGACCCCTCCCCACAGAGCTACTTTGATAAGAAACTAGAGACAGAGTGGCATACCAAGCTATGGGTTACTGTTCCTCTACTAAGCCACATTCATGACTAAAACACTGACTCATGGTTCAGTTGCTGATGTTTTTCATCATGGCTCTCTGCTTGGTGAAGAATGCCATTTCTTGGCCTCTTGAAGGACAGAATCACCTATCACTGCTGGCTTGAAGGCTGCAACACCTGAGACTGACATTGAAGAATATGACCCAAATAGGTTTTTGTGTTAAGCTGGTGAATAGAGTTGTTTGGATCGGCAAGGTCTGTGATGAGAACCTGGCATAACTCGTTCTCATTT